TGGAACCTGAATCTCATTTGGTTCTGGTTATTGTACAGAATCCTAGATCTCTTGTTCCTTTGCTTCCCTTTTTTCTTTTCTTTTTTGGAAAAACTTTTAAAAGTGACTTTGCTTACAAGATGGCTGGGGGCATTGAAAAATGTGGCACTTGTGAGACCCCAGCCAACCCACCATTTCAGTCTGCCCAGAGGCATCTAGTCATATCAGTGAGCATATGCAAAATATATGCAGATCTGGGTCATGTGGCTGTGCCTTGAGTCAAGAAAGAAAGAAAGAAAGAGAAGGAAGGAAGGAAGGAAGGAAGGAAGGAAGGAAGGAAGGAAGGTAGGTTGGTTTCAGGTGCCAAATTCTGCATCAATAAATCCATCACACTTGCACACTAAACACCTGAAGAAAACCCGGATGCACCCAGATCCTGCTTACGTTCAATGCAAGAAGGACATCGCAGTTATGTGCCGACTGCTTTTACACAACATGCAATATTCTTTTTACAGCAGTACCTTACCTAATTAACAGTGAGAATTAATAGTCATCAGAATTAATCAAATTCAGTATGAAAGTGCTTGGCTCAGGAGAGATCTGGTTCAATTGCTAGTGCCATCAGTGAGATCATTAATTTAAACTAGATGAATAGAAGGGCCTTGGGGCATTGACACAGGAGTTGAGGGAGGCTGTTCAAATATTCAAATCCATTTTGGGCTGCATGCAGAGTTGTCAAGTTCTATCTGCAAAAGTCCGTAGATGCTGATTTGCAGTTTTAGGACTGGGAATCCCCACTTCCTCTGGAAATATTAAACAGCCCAGATGCACACCCATTCTCTTGAGGCTAGTGGTTCTGCCCGACACTATAATACCTAAATGTGGGAACATCTTTCAACCAGTTCCCCACAGTTCATCCTTTGCAATCCAGAAGAGACAGTGCAACAGAGAGAGGGCAGTTCAGTTAGGGACGGAGGAAGAATTCAATTCAGTTCATATTTAAAGGCAAGCCTACCTAATTGGCACTTTCTGAAACAAGACACAAACTGAAACACACATCCTTCCACATTTGCACTTCTCCAAATTTTGCAATGAGGTTCTCCAGCCAGAGAAACATATACTAGGTTAACCTGTGAGAAAAAATGTGTTTATTAGTGAAAATGGTATGCAAGAAAAAATGAGCATACTAGGGTAAATTGCACACCAAATGTGTTTCTTAGGAGAAATTCACACAAAAGTGCTGATGAACTTTCATGAGGACTTCTTAAAAATGCAAACTGATGTTGAAATGTGGAGAACTGACCTGAAGAGTGGAGAATGACAAATTTGCCATATCCCACCTGCTGCTGTTGTTGGAATCTATCTGTCTTGAGAGAAAATGGAGTGCGCCTCCGAGTGAAGTGTTAGCAGCCCCAAACTGACCTCCCTGGGGTGCAAGCCTAGGAAGTGTATATGGAGGTCCTGGGCTACCCAGATGACAAGACCCCACTCTCAGCCTCGCTGAGGAAAGCTAAGCAATACATGTGGCACCAAGATGCTGCATAGGCAGGTGATTTTGGAAAACTGGTACTTTATTGTAGTGATCTGTGCTTCACTCATCATTCTGCTCCTACCACCCACATTCAAGTTACCAGCCCTCAGTGATTTGTCTGTGTCTCCGTCAAGAACGAAAACAAACTGTAATGCAAATAGGAAGAAGAGCCAAGATGTGAGTTCCTGGCTCAGCAACATAAATTTGCATGCCTCAAATGAGCCATGGTGACCTTTTCTGGAAAGGGGAGGGAACATTGCTGCAAACAGCAAGAAACCCCCACCCCAGGTGACATCGCTGGTGTGTGGGCCCTTTGACCCTCAAGATGTTGCTGGACTCCCAATTCCCATCATCCCTGGACAGTGTCCATGCTTGCTGGGGCTGATGGGGCTTATAGTTCAGTAACATTGGGGGTGGGGGAAAGGTTCCCCATACCTGTCATGAAGGATTGTGGTTCAAAAAAAGGTATATTCTCAGTATAGCATTTAATATCTTTATGTAGAATAGTCCCACCTCAGTATCAAACCACCTCTTGAATGTTAGTTATCTGAACATAGTTTATTTTTGAGTCGTTCTGGATATAGACCTGTTTCGAGCTTGATTCTGGTTCAGAGTCTTCATGACAAATAGGCTCACTTTTTCCAAGCCAGCACACATCTCTCTCTCTCTCTCTCTGTGTGTGTGTGTGTGTGTGTGTCACAAGCAAGTTTATGCTCAGTGGCCATGCAACAACACGAATAGGAAAATTAACCTTCACCAACCAACTTAATTTGTTTGGCCGTACCAAATACTGATAGAAAAGATAACTAAGAGAGGAAGTCATAAAACCACATTATAATGCAATAGAGAATAGCGCTCTGCAGTAATGTACTTGCTAATAACATCCAATATGTTCATACATTTAACAACATTAAAATGTAAATGTTAAACAATTTGTGAGAGGAAAGCTGTTTTTCATCGCTCTTGGAAATGCATTCTGCTGGCCCTGTTCTCTTTTCATCAACTAGGGTAAATCCATCCATCCATCTATTTATCTATATGTCTAAAATACCCCCTTGGTTTTCATCTTGCCTATAAAGAAAGTAAAGACTCGTGAAAAAATGCAATTAACAATCAAACTTTACTATCCCCTTCACAGTCTTTCTGGGCTTCAGTTACACCCAATCTAACCCAATTAATCTTTCATGTTGAAAGGATAATATATAATAGATAATGACTGGAATTCATAGCATGGTTACACACAGCAAAAGCCTACCGAAATCAATGGGGCTTACGCTCATGCATGTGTGTTGGATGGAACATTCTCCCTCCCAAACCATACATCTCTATAAAACCTTCAAAACTGAATAATTAATTACCAACCACACAGTTTATCCTCTGAATTTGCAAGTATGATAAATCAGTCCAGATTCAGAGAAGAGGCGAAGATGATGCCTCACACTGGCCCAATATTATCAGCAGTGATTGGAAAAAAAAATCTAAATAAAGCTATGCTACAATAGTAAGAAAACTCTTGATTCTTAAAGTCTGAGGCCATTGGGGGCATCAGAAAAGAGGGGATCGTTTCAGCCCACATTCCAGTTGTCCCCTTCAATGGCACCCATTTGCTTACCATTAAAGGCTGTGGGGAAAATAAAACGTATTGACAAAATTTGTCCCTGGGTGTTTCCTTATCGGGTTTCAGTGGGTTGGGGTTTTTAAATGTATCTCTCTTAACAGGGGCAAAGAACACAAGTGAATGAAGGGTTGTGCACAAAATATTTAAAATATATAAACAAATATTGTGACTTTTATAGAATCATAGTACTGTAGAGTTGGAAGGGACTCCAAGGGTCATCTTCTTGTTGTTTAGTGGTTTAGTCGTGTCCGACTCTTCGTGACCCCATGGACCAGAGCACGCCAGGCACTCCTCTCTTCCACTGCCTCCCGCAGTTTGGTCAAACTCATGCTGGTAGCTTCGAGAACACTGTCCAACCATCTCGTCCTCTGTCGTCCCCTTCTCCTTGTGCGCTCCATCTTTACCAACATCAGGGTCTTTTCCAGGGAGTCTTCTCTTCTCATGAGGTGGCCAAAGTATTGGAGCCTCAGCTTCAGGATCTGTCCTTCCAGTGTCATCTTAGGTTACATTGTTTCAGATTATTTTAATGTGTGGGGGGGTTGTCTTCTTAGCATAAATTGTAAGCAACTAGACAATTTTAAATGAGCTTATTTTTTAAAAAAATAATAAGCAGCCAACATGGTGGTCCCTCCTGATGCTTTTAGACTCCAACTCCCATCACCATTGTCCTTGCTAGCTGGGGCTGATAGGAACTGGAGTCCAACAACACCCAGCTGAGGAAAGCTGGGCAAGATACTTCTCCAAACATCAAGTTTTGTAATGCATCTCCAGGACAATGTTTAAAATCGGGCATGTGCTTGTGGGTGGATGGAAATGGCTGTGCCACGACTGCGTTTTACCTATGAATTTGCTGCCTGAGATTACATTTCTGCAATGTCACCCAAAGAACCTTTATGGTGTAATTATGGCTCAGATTGCAGCACTGGTCACGAGAGGGGTGGCACTGCTATTTGGAGCACTGCCTCATTAGGAAAGATTTGTAAATGCAGCTCCTTGATTTCAGTGGAGTGACTTTAGCTATGGAGTGCTAAAACAAAAAAGCAGAAATTCAGCAAATGGGCTCAGAATCTCTAGCCAATACCCATTGATACTGAAATATATTGTTATTACCTCCCTAATTCCCACTAGCGCGAGAATTGTTAGTTCTAGGATTCTCAATCTGTTATAAGGAATTTAAAAGCCAATGAAAGAAAGAGGGAGCTTCTCTTACTGTTGACAGGGAAAGACAAAAATGCCCAATAACCTGATCTTATGAGCTATTAAGCTGAAGTACAGATTCATAGGACACAGTATATGAATACACTTTCCTCTAATCAAGTTAAAGAAAATATATAATGGCCCACACTGAGACAAGGCAACATTAAACTACGGTATATACACCACAGTGGTAGTGATGCAAAAACAGACTTGTAAATTGGCATGAATAAAACAATAAAGAAAGGAATAGTCAATGTGGTGCCGTCTAGATGATGTTGGACTGTAGTGCTGGCCATGAGCCATACTGACTGGGGCTAATGGACACATCTGGAGGATGTCATGTTGGACAAGCCTGCCCTACCTCCATTGTCAGAGGCAGTATGCTTTTTATTGCCATTTGCTGGGAATCACAAGCAGGGAGAGTGCTGTTGCTCTCAAGTCCTGCTTTGGGCTTCCCATGGGCAACTGGTTGGTTGACCACTGTGCAAACAGGCTGCTGGACTAGGTAGGACATTGGCCTGAGGCAGCAGGCTCTTCTTACAGCCATTTTTAAGTGCAGCTCTGGTCTTCAGGACCAGAGATACACTATTCAGGTATGGCCCCATACTGAGGCAGCCTGGAGGTTTCCATAGAAATCATAGAATTGTAGAGTTGGTAGGATCATCTAGTCCAACCTGTTCCGGATGGGGATCAAACCTGCAACCTTGACGTTATCAGCACCATGCTCTAACCAGCTGAGCCACCCAGGCCATGCTGCTTCTGTACTTGTAAAAGCTTTTTATTGCCTTTCTAAAAGTTCAAAACAGGTCAACCAGCTACCAGCTACCTGCGACCTGAAGTGACTGCTGTGCAGAGCTTCTTGGTGCCACATGCTTTGAATACAAGACTGTAAGTCCCCCTGAGAGTCTGTAAATCTTCAACAAAATGTTATAATGATGAAGGTGGGAGCGGGAGACGTGAGGAAGTCCAAAGAAAATGTGAAATTATGTTAAGACGAATGTTATATTGTTTATTACATTTATTCCTATTGTAAAACCCAATAAATTGCTTTAAAAAAAAAAAGAGAGTCTGTAAATCTCAAGATGAATTGCAGGTAAAAACATGACTATCCCCAGTGCCCCTCCTTTGTTTTCCCTAATCACAATACTTTTTTCTTTTCCTAGCTGGTTTTCAGTGTATACTAACTCAAGCAATCACTGGGCACAATTGAAGGGAACAGTGTCTTATAGTCATTGAAATCTGAATTAACTTACCACTATGGAGGCAATTAATGGCAAATATGCTTGAATGGGTTATATGGGCATAGTGATGTTACAAGAACATAAGACGAGCCTGCTGGATCAGGGCAATGGCCTATCTAGTCTAGCATCCTGTTCTCACAGTGGCCATGTCTGTGGGAAACCAACACTGTCACATACTGGTGGGTATTATTTTATTGCAGGGATGAGGAACAGATGACCCTTCACATGTTGTTTGACTTCAGCTCCCATCCACACTAACTAGTATTGCCAATGGTCAGGGTTGGTGGGACTGGAAAATCTAGAGGCCATCGGTGAGCTACTACTGTGGTAAAGCAATAATACGGTACAGCCCACATATTTCCCATGAGTCATGGCAATAGGAGAGTAATAAGGGGAACAAGCGTCCAAAGAATAAAACAAACTGCCCAGGAGCCAGTTTTTGCATGGAAATCTCCAAAGCTCCCAATCATAAGAACACTTGGCATTTAGAAACGTGTATTCAATTCATCAAGTTCATGATGAAACTTAAAATAGTCATAAAAATTCTGCTTTGATCAACCGTGCAGGGAATAGTTCCAGTATTAAAAATAGAAAGTATGAATCATACAAGTTGGGCATTCAAATGGAGTGAGGCTGTTAATGCAAAACCCTGCAAACTCATCCCTCCCCCAACCAAAAAAATAAAATAAAAAAATTAGGTAAATTGAATAAGGTATAAGGAAAAATGAGACATGACAGGAGAAGGCTGTAAAGCTTCTCAGCACAAGTCTAACATTGGCAAAGTCGTGTTTTTTAAAAAAGAAAAGGGTTATAGTTTTTTTGACACCTTCTGGAAAGGAAGCTTTTTTATTCGTGAAAGGAACAGATGTTTTGGCAGATAGCATAGAAAGAATCCCGTCAGAGACTATAAACTAAGCTTGAAGGGAATAAAAAAAAGAAAGTGGAGAAAAATGTGAGGTATAAAACAAAAGCACTAAAATGATACAGATATGGCCAAAATGGGGGGCGACACATTGTTTTTTAGAAGTACTCAATAAGAAAGGAAGGAAGGAAGGAAGGAAGGAAGGAAGGAAGGAAGGAAGGAAAAGTTTTATATGAAAGGAGAAATATTTTAAGATTTACCTCATCACATTTCACTGCAAGGTAAGGTTGGAAGATTCATTTGACTGCAGATGCAGTCGAAACAGGGGAAGTGAAATTTTCAAGTATTTGAGAAGAACTACTAATATGTAGCCAATATTAAAGAACATCTAGTTTTTGAATATTTGTTCTTCAAAAAGAAAAGGTTGTATCTAGCATACATTTAAAAAACTATTATACAAGTTTAAGCGGTCATAGAATCCTGGCACTTTCCCTCTCATGCTCTCCAGAGATTATTATTTACAGACATACTGCCACTGTTGATATATAACCATCATGACTAGTAGCCATTGATAGTCTTATCCTTCATGAATTTGGGTACCCCCATCTTAAAGCCATCCATGCTGGTAGCCATCACTGCATCTTATGGAAGTGAATTCTATAGTGGGAACTGTGTGCTATGTGAGGAAGTATGCTGTGTGAAGGAGAATATGGATGGGTAAGTAGGCATGCTCTTCTTCTTCTTTCTATGCATAAATGCCAGATCAGGGAAAGGTATTGTCCTTTTATGGCTGTGCCCATAATATTGACCAGTGCCAGTGATCTGACTGCATAGCATAGCAAAATCTCTTCACCACATGGAAATTTAAATGAGATTTGTAGAAGAAGTTGATTCTATTTTGGAAATAAGTCCCTTCCCTCAAATTTGTGCGAAGACTTGAGTTTTGTTTGGTTGAACCCACTGGAAGTCTCTTGCTAAGAGACAAAAAAAACCAGAACTTACATAGAAGAAGAAAAGAATTGGGAACCCAAAGCTCAAACCTTTAATCTCAGTTTTTAATTTTTAAAATAGGTCACTCATATAGGAGAAAAAAGAGGTATTGGGAAACATATGCCTTACATACACACACATACACACAAATGAAACAAAGCCTGTCCCCATTTATTTTGTGTGGATGCTAGATTATTTCTCCCCATGTCATTTCAAAGCTTTGTTCTGGTCTAATCTGAATACATGAAATCACGACGGTCAAGATTCCTCAGCCTTGACAGCTGGTGAGATCAATTTTGTCATACTTCTTTGCAAATCAAGACTTGTTTCCTAAATACACAATGTAAACACGCACCCACATGAACCCTGTAATGCCTCATATGTAAAGTCACTAGAGAGGAGATGGGCAGTAACCCAAAACAGGATGCGAAGCCACTGGAGAAGGGGGCAGAGACTGGAGAAGGAACTGCGAGTGAAGGAGTGGGGGTATGTATGAACAATGTCTTAGTGCAACGTTTCTATATGTTAACTGTATTTTTTGTAATATTTGTTGTTCTTTACAGTGGTACCTCTACTTACACTCACCTCTGGTTACGTATCCTACGGGATACATATGTGGCAAACCTGGAAGTATTTTTCCAGGTTTCGCCACGCGTGCATGCACAGAAGGGGTCCCTCTGGTTGCGGAAAGCTTGGGATCCAACTGGAGCTCCAGAACAGATAATAAAAATTAATAAAAAAAAATAAACATTTATTGTCACTACACCACCTGTGTGCAGTGAAACCGGAGTCCGCAAGCGGAGGTACCACTGTATTTCTGTACAACACTTAGAGATGGGTTTTTTATATTAAGCAGTATAGAAATTATTCAGGATTGCAAATCACATTCTCACTTGCACATGCTTGTTTTTCAGCTTGCGAGGGGCACTGTTTACCAGAAAAGTGATGTGGCAGAGGGGCAGAGCAAGTCAGGCCCCTCCCCCCGCCATGAGATTCACTCAAACGAGTAAACTCAGGGCTCAACCACACTTTCGTTAGACATCTATTTTGATAGTGTTCTGTATCAATTAATTCCCTCCGGGTCTGGGAGCTTATCTTGTTGTTCCTCAGCAGTCTCTTGCAAAAATCTGATCTTGCCTGTCAACATGCGTGCCACCTTGCCCCCATGATTGAGGGGGGCCTGGGGCTATGCACTGTCAGCAAGCCATGTGCGCACGCCCCACAGCATGCTGACCACACTCACACACTGTGGGGCATGCTGACGTGTTGTGTGGATATGGCTTGTGCACATGACACAAGCATGCCCCATGGCACACACAGCCAGTGGGGAACTTTGGGGGGGCAGCCCTTTCATAGGAAATATTGGGGGCCTGGCCCCTCAACCCCTTACTCAGTGCCTATGCCCACCAAATTGGATCTTATCAGATGAGCGGGAAATCTGAAGAGAGTTTCAATTCTTGAACTGAGAAGAATTAATTGGTACACAACATGATCAAAATACAGGTCAAGAGGAAGTGTAGATGAGCTCAACATGTCCAAATTGGGCTGTTGTGACATGAACATCCTGTGTTAAAATAAATAAATATCAAGATCCCTAGATATGACTTCTCTCACAGCCTTACTGCATTTACTTACACAATTCAGGACTCTTTCCCCTATATAACTGATTATCTATATAAGTAATTTGGGGGCTGATTATGTAAGCTACCTCCCTCAACAATGCTGGCCTTCTGTTTCTTATTCTTGGTTTATCATTTAAATGCCAGCCAAGGCAGCACAGAATATTATAACATAAGTACTTGTGTATTTGGAATAAAGTAAAAAAATTAATTAGGTGATCACCTAATAATAAGTATGTTGTTATGAACTGAGGCCCTCAATTAGTTGGTCTTCCCCCCTTCCTCACTAGATGCCCAACATACCGTAAATCTATACAAGATTAAGAAATAGAATAGAAAAGTCTCCGAAACTACTTATTGCTATCTGCAGATAAATGCTTGAGTTTCTTTGCCAATATCACATCATTGAGAAAGGGTCATTTTTCACTTGGACAGAGTAACAGGAAAGCTGAAAAACACATTTAAGAAGGAGACTAAGAGAAAAATTACATTTAGAAAAGTGTAGAGTGGAGGTTGGGGGAGCCACTTGCAAATAAACAACACCGTAACACTAGACAAGGAAACAACAAGGAGGTTCTGGTTAGCAAATTGCCTGTACAAAGTAGCACGCATTCTGGCATTCCATATTTCTCGTCAGTGCCTTTATGTCAGCCTTTTTTGTTGACAAATCTAAACAAGGCTTTCCCACCCGCTAGCTGTGCAAATTGAGATCTGCAAATTAAATGGTATTCTTTCTTCTTTGTACATCAGCCAACACCTACAATATTATTTCTGGCATGAAAACATTGCTGGTTATGCTGATGATGGAACAAGAGTCAAAGCAGAATGCATCTTGTCATGTTACGCATATTATTAACTCCCTGGTATTGAATGGTGAATACTTTTCCATGGTTGTTTTGGTCAACAGACACAGATATTCAAGACAAAGGCCATGGAAGTTCTAGATCTAAAGCAGCCTATGCCAACCAGGTGCCCTCTAGCTGTTTTGGACTACAATCCCTATAAGTGCCATCCAGCCAAAACATCTGAAGGCAGCCACTTTGGTGATGGCTGATCTAGAATTCCAACAATAGCATTGCTTTTAAGCTCATAGTAAATAGGTAAAGGGACCCCTGACCATTAGGTCCAGTCGTGACCGACTCTGGGGTTGCGGCGCTCATCTCGCTTTATTGGCCGAGAGAGCCGGCGTACAGCTTCCGGGTCATGTGGCCAGCATGACTAAGCCGCTTCTGGCAAACCAGAGCAGCGCACAGAAACGCCGTTTACCTTCCCGCCGGAGCGGTACCTATTTATCTACTTGCACTTTGACATGCTTTCGAAACATTATTCATTAAGGAGTGAAGCTCACACTGCTATGAGTGGACCAAATAGACAAGGACTATTTCTCAGCCAATTCATCTACCTCAAAATTGTCTGGTTTTGTTTTGGCAATATCTCAGAGTGGAGTAAACTTCGAGCAGGGGAGAGTGGAGGTCATCTTCTTTTACCCAGGAAACTCTGTTCTGAGGGGTTTTTCCTTGTCATCATTTGTCTGCTCCCAATCACACGCACACATATCCTTGTTGTTTTTAACTCACCCCTGATTTCCAAAGGTGGGTTTGCCCTTGAAGATATGCATTTGGAGTGCCATGAACAAAAGGAGATGGAAGAAGGGAATTCGGAGAAGTGGCCAGTGAATTAAGGAATACCACCTCCACACACATTCACCTCTTTTCCATTGTAAACCACCCACTCCAATTCAGTTTTTCCTTAAAAATCCAGTGCTGGGGCACTGTTACAAGTGCAAACAGTGCATTTGGCTACTGAGTGGGAAAAGGTTTCATGACTTCCATATATCACTGGATGTAGTCTAACAAATATATGGGAGGTTGCAGATTCTACACACACCCCCAACCTGGATATAATAGATTCCCACCCATTCTGGAAGCTCATTTCATAGTCTAGTCTATCTCACCAGGTTCTTCTGAGGTACAACAGGATGCATTGGGGGAACCACCTTATGTGCCATGATGAGCTCCTTGGAAGAATAGTGAGCTATAAATGCAGGGCCAGCCCACCCAAGAGGCAAGGTGAGAAGACTGCCTCAGGTAGCAGGATCCACAGGGGCAGCAGGATCCTGCTGCAGGTCTTTATTACCCCGTGTTCCTGATATAGATCTTCACTCACCCCTTCTTTCCTGTTGGAAATGGGGGGTGCTATTTTGTGGTTTGCCTCAGGTGCCAAAATGTATTGGGCCAGCCCTGTATAAATTAGCAGAGCAGCCCTAAGTGGGGTTGCAAGGGGGGAGGAGCAACATGGCAGATCTACCACCATTTTCCAAACCCTGCTGGCTTGTGTCAAAAGCAGTGCAGAATGTTCTGTCATTTTTCACTAGGTCAACTCAAGACTGGCATAACTGAGACACTCAGTGGCTGGGCTAGGGTCTTGTTTGGTCTCTTATTCACATCCTATCTTCTGCATAGTTCCTTCAACATATTTATATAGCATGGGATCTTACTCTTGCTTGTTGGGGTTGCTGTTGTTCTGGCACATTCTGATTCCAGACAGTCCTCCCAAAATCTCAGGTAAGGATGGGGAAGAACATTTGATTTAGTTTTCATTTAAAGGGGAACCTACCAATTTCACACTTTCCAAAGCATCACACAAACTGTAACCCCACCATCCTTCAAAAATTCACACTTCTCTGAAGTTTGCAATGCAGCTCTCCAGCCTAGTAATGTGTATAAAAATGCATATATTGGAATAAAATGTCCATTAAAATGCATATCTTAGTGAAAATAGCATATAAAAATGCATCTTATCTGGGAAACATACTTTGCAAAAATGTTTATAATAGGAAAAACTGCATATAAACATGTGTATTTTGGGAGAAATTTGCATTAAAATGCTGGTGAATATTCACGAGCATTTTTTGGGGGGGAAAGGAAGCTAATGTAGAAATGTAGAGAACTGAACTTAAGATTGGCAAAATGAGAAGAAAAAAACTGAGACAGTCACCCATTCCAAATCTAAAATAACACTACGGTTGTATAGTGACAAAAAGTTTGCTCTATTTGGGTATCAGTTTTGTTTCCAGTATATAGTGTTTGCTTTGTAAGAATTATTGAACTATGTATATTTTATAAGGATGCCCTCCTCTGCAATTAAGTTTAATATAATGTATGTTTAAAAGTGACATAGACAAATGCCTAGTTTCTCAAGTTGAAGGGTTTGGTGTTTTTTTACGGTATATATGCAACAGTTGAATAATGTCTTCTGACTGGTATTCAATACTTGTGTTGATGTCTTTCCCCGACTGTATGCTCCCTTTATTGCTGTTAAGCATTCTGAGGAGAGATGAGGGTTACACAAAGCTCCAGCTTCTCCTCAAGATCCTAATTAGTGTTTTTCAGGCAGTTTAGCCAGTAAGGCATTACTCAGATTTGAAGAACTAGAAGAAGAAAAATTCATTGCTTCTACAGTAGCCGTAAATTAACTGGATAAGCAATTTGCTCGTCTGAATTTCTGAGATTGTACAAAGCATCTGTGGGTTAAAATGTTCTCTTGCTCGCTCACTCTCCCAGGCTTCACTCTTTGATTTATTACCATTTGTCTGCAGATCAGAACATGTGCTCATTCATCACATGTTACTAGAGCAAATGTGCACAATACAGTACCTTGGCTGATTTTTTTGCACAATTCCCCTAATCAGTTTCCTGGGACTAGAGCCATATGATGACACAGAATTTGCCCCCAACAAGGATTCCACTATAACGGCAAGATGACTTCCTCCACTCTCTGCCCTAAAACTTAGCCCAAGTTTTGCAATGTATGTATTTGCCCAAATACAAGCCATCTGCCCACATCAAATCTTTTTGTGTTCAGAAAAATTCCCTACACATGATTTTATAAGATGGCATAGATCTGGACTGAGGAAGAGGAGCGGGAAGCCATGTCTGTACAGCAAAAGAGGTCATAAGCAGCCAATAATGTGCATATTTAAAATCACTGCTGTCCAAGGATGCATGATAGCATACGTCCATCAGGCTGACCTGCTTAAGTTGTCATATTTATGCATGTGTATATACTGCATATATTCATCAGGAAAAGGACTAGTCCATTGATCTCATTGGTAGAGCATCTGTTTTGCATGCAGAAGGTCCCAGGTTCAATCCCTGCTACCTCCAAGTAAGCCTGGGAGAAACTCCTGCCTGGCAACCCTGGAGAGCCGCTGCCAGTCTGTGTAGACAATGCTAAGCTAGATGGGTCATTGGTTTGACTCGGTCAAAGTAGGCTTCCTGTGCATGAGAGGGGCAAGGCGTCCACCAAGGTGTCTGGTGGGAATGGGGATCACTGAGGAGGTTGGGTGTATCTGCAGAGCGGCGGGTAGGTGTTGGTGGGGGGGGCTGATTTTAAGTGTGTTGAGGGGCCGGGTCGTGTCCCAATTTGCATCACTGGGATGTTGGCGGGTATGTGATTGATTGCTCTTCAAATGGTAGTAAATAATAATAAATGCCTTCCTTCAAGCACTGGTTGGAAACTCATCCTTAGTTTCTCTTTACATTCTTCTAATAAAATCTGTGGTTGTGTGCTTTGTTGGGAGATTTTTGTGACTACATCGCTGCCTGTTACTCTGTAGCCTGGGTTGGAGCCATTGTGAATTCCTGAATTATCTGACCAGGGTGGGGTGGTTCTTCTTAAAATCAGATTACCACAACAGCAGCAGCACAGATTTTTGTGTTAAAAGATTTACCCTTTAAAGACTATGTGCACAGAGTTCTATGTTAATTATGCCTGTGTCTTCCACACAACCAGCTTTTAATTTGCTTTCTTCTACCAATTATAATATTAAAGAAATCTCCCTTTATGAATCCATGCTGACCTTAATTAAATCATGGCTCCTTGCAAGAGCCTGATGATTAGCACTCACGATCACTTACTTACTGCAGAAATGAGGCATATAAAACCTAATTCCCAGACCTTTTCTCATTCCCTTAAATACTTTATACAGCTTTTTAAAAATACCTTCTCACCCTCTTACCCCACAATCCATCTACCACACCCCAATGGTTCTGCATATCTCTTATCTTTTCTTCCCACTTCAGAATTCCGGGATAGATTCCATCTGGCCCTGGAGCTTTGTTAATCTTCAGACAATCTAATATCCTGATCATCTGTTCTGGCATGATCCTGATTTCCCTCAGTATTTCTTCTTCCTCTCAAGGGAAATTTCTGTCTGTTTCCAGCATCTGTCCCGCATCTTCTTTTGTGAACATTGAGGTAAATCATTAGATTAATGTCTAGAGCGCCTGTCAATAAATTACTGTAGTATCCTCCTTTATGGACTACTTGTTGCTATGGTGTTTGGAGTCCCCTTTTCAGCATTGCTTTATTTCAGCCTGATCCAAAATTCAGGGAGGGTGATGCTTTTGGGTTTAAGCCTGCTTGGTCTCTTGGACATCAGTTGATCTAAATGGATTTCATTTCAAGAACTTAGTTATGAATCAGGTTGCCCCGGTCCTCCAAGAATTGACCACAGGGAATTTCTAGTCCACATGCAATTCATGACACCTTAATAAGAACTTACTCATTCCCTAAGTGTAGATTCTCATGTAGCCAAAACAGCACCATTCATACATGGTGCATTATTCCAGCAAGGTTTGAGTGTCCGGCTAGGACCTGGGAGACCAGGGTTCTGGTCCTCACTTGACCATGAAGCTCACTGGGTGGCCTTGGACCAACCATCATCTCTCAGCCTAACCCACTGGGTCGTTGTGAATATAAAATTAAGGGGGGGAACTATGTACAGCATGACACCTTGAGCTTCTTGGAGCTTTTCAAGCAAAACTTGAAAAGAGACTACAGGTATAAAGATACAACCGTTCAGGTGTTCTCCATGCATAGAACTTACCTGTGAAGAAGAGGGCCGCTGGATCAAGCAGCTGTTCCTACACACACACCCAAGTCCTGATTTAGTGCAAACAGCTCATTTGGGAACTGTGTGAATGTAAGCTGGGGGGGGGGGCGCGCACAGGGGGAGAGTATTTTCAACAGAAAACCAACTCAGGGCCCCAATCCAGATCAAGAGTGAAGCACTCGATTGGGTCCCCAAACAACTGCTTTTTCTTTAAAAGAGATTATAGGGTGAAGCATTTTTCAAAACAATGTGCTGACCCTAATGTGTTAACTTGGTCATTACAACAGCAAAATTCAAAATTTTAAAGAATTAAGAACCAAGAACATATAACGAGCCGGCTGGTTCAGGCCAATCATCCATCTAGCCCAACAAGCAAGATACGAACAAAAGTACTGTATTGGCTCGAATATAAGCTACACCCAAATATAAGCCACACCTTTAAAATTCGGGGGCGGGGAGAGAATACCCGAATAGAAGCCACTCCCTTAAAATTCCACCCATTCCATTTTACCATATGTCTGTTTCAGCAGCGATATCGTAAAAGCCAATTTTTGTAAGGTAGTGAATTTAAGCGGCACTTTAACTTTTCACGGTAGGAATTTGGAGGGGGGAAAGTGTGGCTTATATTCAGGCCAATATGGTACTTTCATGACTGATCCCTCTTTTAAGCCCTCATAGCTTCTCTGTTTAAAATTGGGGTTCTATTCTATGCCAGTTTCCTTTATACATAGCCCAACATTTCCTTGTAGTGCAGCTTTTTAGTTGTGAAGATTTTATGTTTGCAAGACATACAGTGGTACCTCGGGTTACATACGCTTCAGGTTACAGACTCCGCTAACCCAGAAATATTACCTCGGGTTAAGAACTTTGCTTCAGGATGAGAACAGAAATCGTGCTCCAGTAGCGCGGCAGCAGCAGGAAGCCCCATTAGCTAAAGTGGTGCTTCAGGTTAAGAACAGTTTCAGGTTAAGAGCGGACCTCCGGAACGAATTAAGTACTTAACCTGAGGTACCACTACAGTATAAATCTTGCAGATGATATTGTTTTGAGTAGGGGCACTATGTCCTGATTCTCTCTACTTTAATCACTTCTATCAGTTTCAATGTGTTTCATCTCAGTATCAATTTCAATCTCTCCCCTGACACACAGACTTGCTCTTTCACCTGCAGCAGTGTTCTGACTTGGCAGGAAATGACCTCCCGGTCTGGCATGAAGGATAATTTAAACCACCGGAGAAAATCGAGGCAACAACAGCTGATATTAAGATATTGTGAGGATGCATTCTAATACTTATTCGCTTTGAGTAGAGGTGGGAAATAATAATAAAAAATGAAAGCATATTAAGGGGGAGGGAATGAACCTAAGTAGCTGATACACATTTCTGAAGACCAAATCCAAAAGTTACGGTCCATTTACATGGGGCTTTTGAAGGATTTGCTCATGCGAGTTGAGGGATGGGGAAGGAAAGTTCAGAATGTGCTGTCCTATAAAGCACAACCTTTCACGGTTCATCTCTGCCATGTTTCTACATGAACAAGTGGCCATATCTCTCTCCTCCAGCCACGGGTGCGCCATCACAAAACAAGGTGGACTGTGACAGAAGGGGACGCGACCCTGTTCCAGAACACAAAATGCACACATCGGTGGCCTTCATTTTCAGAGAGGGAGACGTAAAAACAGAAGCCATAAAATGTCAAGCCGCTTGAAGAGCGCTTTAACTTCCAATAAAAGCCCATAAGCTGTATGAGTTTTATTCAGAGCTTTATCATGACTTTTAAAAACGTAAGCAAGAAGGAAATTCAGCCAAGGATACTACTAGCTATAAGGCACAATAGCAAAGCAAACTTAAAACATCCAATAAATAAACGGAGACTGCTTCATAATAGAGACACCGGTCTCATGCCTCCCTACCAATCTAAATTTTATTCCCATTCTAAATGTTATATGAAGTAACCACAGTGCCTTAAACGAACATTGGAACAAGTTATGGGTCCCATTTTTAAAGATTAGGTTTTGCTCTGTTATCAATTTTTCACTAAGGCCCCGGATATCCATTTTACTGTGGTATCGTGTTGCCCTTTGCTGTAGCATCTACTGTACTGCATTTGTGGTAAAACCTTTTTGACGCAGAAAAGGCTTATGGCTTATTTCAGAAGGGGTCCCATGGCAGGGAGAGGCACGGAATTCCCTTCGGCAGCTTGTGGCAGCTGCTGGAGAGTGGGCAAGGAGGAAGAGAGGTTCCTGCCAACGAGGCCCAGCCCCAAGTGATGTGCCATCTTGGAGGGGCAGGCAGAGGGCAGGACCACCCTGGGTGCAAAGAAAAGGGAAGCAGAGCGGCACTCAAGGGGTCTTCTTCCTTTTTTAATGCTTTGTGCATCCATGTCTATTCTTGCTCGTTTCTAAAATTTATTTATTGGTGTGTGTTTTTCTATTATTATTATTATTATTATTATTATTATTATTATTATTAAATTCAACTTATACACCACCATATACCCGGAGGTCTCAGGGTGGTTCACAACAAGACCGCAACATATAAAATCAAACCAAAAGTAGTAACCCAATACAGTGGTACCTCGGGTTACAGATGCTTCAGGTTACTGACGCTTCAGGTTACAGACTCCGCTAACCCAGAAATATTACCTTGGGTTAAGAACTTTGCTTCAGGATGAGAACAGAAATCGTGTGGCGGTGGTGCGGCAACAGCGGGAGGCCCCATTAGCTAAAGTGGTACCTCAGGTTAAGAACAGTTTCAGGTTAAGAATGGACCTCCAGAACGAATTAAGTTCTTAAGCTGAGGTACCACTGTAACCATCCCCACAAAAAGTCACATTCTAAAAGGGTGTTGGTTGATCTTATTATCAACCAAAGGCCTGGTTGAAAAGGAACATTTTTGCCTGGTGCCTAAAGCTATATAATGAAGGTGAACTTTCTGGGGGGGAGCATTCCACAGATGGAGAGCCGCTGCAGAGAAGGCCTGTTCTCGTGTTGCCACCCTCCAGACCTCTGGAGGAGGTGGCACACAAAGAAGGGCCTCAGAAGTTGATCTCAGGGTCTGGGTAGGTTCATATGGAAAGAGGCTGTCCTTGAGGTATTGCGGTCCTGAGCCGTTGAAGGTTTTATAGGTCAAAACCAGCACTTTGAATTGGACCCAGAAACTAATTGGTAGCCAGTGAAGTTGGACCAGGGTCGGTGTAATATGCTCAAACCTTCTTGATCTGGTGAGTAACCTGGCCACTGAATTCTGTGCTCCCAAAGAGCAAAATAAAA